TGTCCACAAACCAGGCTACCCTAAAGCTATCAGCACAACCATGTTCGTTGCAGCAATTTCTACCATAGCCAAGACACAGAATCAACTCAGATGCCCCTCAATAGATGAGTGGATCAAGAAAATGTGATACACACACACACACACACACACACACACACACACACACACACACACACACACTGGAATTCTACTCACCAGAAAGAATGATATTGTACCATTTGTACAGAAATGGAAAGACTTGGGAAAACATTATATTAAGTGAAGTAAGCCATGCATGGTTTCCCTCATTTGTGATAATTAAAATGTGCCTATAAAATAAATTCACTGGATGGTAAACAGACAAAAAATACACCAGGATATGATATATCCTGTGCATATAATCATATAAAATAATATTTATTGAAATGAACTCCCAGACATGGAAACGAGGTTTTGTTGTTTTTTCTTTGTTATATTTTTTCTTTATCTTTTGTCTTGTTTGTAAATTCATCTGTTTGGGGGAGAGTAAGGGAGAGCACAGAAATGGTGGAACAAAGGGTGAATAAATTCAGTAGTGATACTCACTGCACACTATGCTGAAAATGAACAATACAAGTTGCGAGTGGGGACAGGAGAGCAAAACTGGGAGAGAGTGAGGGAAGAGGTGACATTGTTTGAAAAGGAATGTATTCACCTGATTTATGTAAATATATCCCCTCTGAACATTACTTTTTCAGTAACAGCAAATATATACTTTTAAAGAAGAAAATATGTAACTGTCAAATTGCAACATTCTTATCTGTTATGCATTTTATTAAGGAAAATATACATAATTACATAGGATGGATCAATTAAAATATATGAAATGACATGCACTTTATTTTTTTTAATTTCTTAAAAATTTTATTGTCAAGGTGATGTACAGAGGGTTTACAGTTACACAAGCAAGGTAGTGAGTACATTTCTTGTCAAACTTGTTACCCCCTCCCTCATTTTTCTCCCACTTTCCATCCACCTCAGCTTTCTTTTTTTCTTTTCTTTTTTTTTTTAGGATCAGTTTTAATTTTGACCAATAGTGAAGCATTGAATTTATTTCTATAGGACACTTGAGTGTTTTGTACCTCTTCTTTTATTTCTTTGATTGTTTTTTGAGACAAGGTTTTGCTGTGGAGCCCAGATTGGCATTTTTTTTTAAATTTTTATTGTAAAGATACTATACAGAGGGTTACAATTACATGAGTAAGGTAATGAGTACACTTCCTATTGAGCATTGTTACTCCTTCCATTGTTTTCCCCCTACTATCCCTTCCCTCCCTACCTTCCCCAAGGTTCTTTTTTTTTTAATTGTGATTAAGTGATTACATAATTTCCCAAATTCCCAAATGATATGCACTTTAAACAAAGTTGGAAACTATTCCATAGGCCTAATCATAAATACATTTGCTTTATGGACCACATGTTTACCAGACAGCCTGGCTAGAAGGTAGGAAAGACGTGACAAGGGCTTGGAGTTTTAAATTCCAAATATACATTTGAGATGTTATTAGCTTGCTTCTTATAATTTTTTTTCATTTCTAAAAATGAAAAAAACTAAAAATATTATTTTATATGATCAGAGGCACATAGACATTGTGTCTTTGTGTTCCTCCCCTAATAGTATCCTCCTTTGGTCTCACTATTTGTAGATGACTAGAGTCTTTGCAGTTAATCTTTTAGTCTTTGAATAGGAAACATCCAGTTTCTCCATTTATTTTGTTTTTGTTTGTTTCGTTTTTGGGTCCGGTTGTGTGGCCTGAACTCTGGGCCTGGGCACTGTCCCTCAGCTCTTCAGTTCAAGGCTAGCGCTCTACCACTTGAGCCTCAGTGCCACTTCCGGCTTTTTTTTCTTTTTGCTTATGTGGTGCTGTGGAATCGAACCCAGGGCCTCATGAATGCAAGGCAAGCGCTCCACCACTGAGCCACCTTCCCAGCCCAAGTTTTTCCATTTATCTGGGAGCTATCTGACTGATTCCAAGAACTAGCAAGCACCATTCTCAAAGATGAGTGGGGATAAAATTACCCCACTCCTCAAATTGCTGTATCTACCTATGGATTTACCCAGAATTATAAGCAGCTATAGCGAATAAAATGAGCTCCGAATAATTATTTGAAAAAAATGTAATCACTTCTCCCTTTCCATCCATTTGCAGTTGAAAGTTTATAATCACTTGATTCTTTTTTTTTAATCTATGTTTGCCTTTCACAAGTATGAGTAAAGAAAGAAGGCCTTTAAAAATATTTTTTTATATCCATGACCTTTTAGTATATGATACCTGAGGCATGAAGAAAGTATGTCAGAAGATGAATAGCAGTTTTCATTTATCTTTCAGTATATATGTTTTCACTTTCTTTTGCTTGGAAGGCAAGGATATTTAATTAACAGATAGATATATCATTTCTCTCTATCCAAATCCATGCATATTAACCTTCATTACCAGAACACCCCATATCTTCAGGCAGAGTAACTGGTTAAAACTCATGTTGAAAACTGTGCAAATGTCCAATATAATTTTAGTTATTTAACTACCAACTGTTTTCCTTGAGGAAAAATGTATTCTGTCAGATAGAATATTGATGCTTGAATTCTACATGAACCAAAATAGTAAAAGAAGAAAAATTGATAGTGTTTTCAGAGCAGCATGAGAAGTACAAATTTCATCAAAGGAACATGTTAAAGATTAAAGTAACTGAACTAGTAATTGGCACTTTAGCTTCTCTCTTCAGGGGCTTTCAATTTCTACACCATTTTAAGAACTATAAAGATTACTTTTTCATACACTTTTTCCACTTGGCATCATTCTCTGTACCTGCCTAATTTATGATGTCAATAATTATATTCAAACAAATAGATGTTCCATCATGTGTTCATAGAAGTAGACCATTAAGCACATCAATATTACAAAATAAATCCATGATAAGAATTCTAAATGCACAGAGAACCCCATGAAATTAATCCAGTTGAGCTATTAAGGAGTTATTAGATACTTTTCTTAGCCTGATATTTGAGTATAGCAAACATTTAGTGGAACAAAGTATACTTACTTCATACTTAGAAATACATTATTTCCTTACAATTATGTATAACTGTCAATCAAAAATGTTATGCTTCTTTGGAATTTTTTTGGAGAGAAAGAAGTTCTGAGGTTTGAAACAAGGCTTCACACTTGCAGGCATTTCTGCTAGTATTTGAGCCATGCCTCCAGCTCCTTTACTTTAGCTAGGACTTTTAGTTTCAATAGGCTCTCATACTTTTGCTTAGGGTGTCTTTGGACTATGATCCTCCTAATCTAAGGTTCCTGCATAGCAAATTACATATGTGAAGTACAATTGTCAGATTCTTTGTTGACACATACAAAAATTTGGGCAGGAAATTAGTTGAGTGAGAAAAGTCAATCTCCAGATGAGCAATGGTGGCTCATGCCTATAGTCCTAGCTCAGGTGTCTGAGATCTGAGGATTGCAGTTCAAAGCCAGCCCAGGCAGGAGTCTCTGAAACTCCTATCTATATTTAACCAGAAAAGAAGCCAGAAGTGGACCTGGTGCTTAAGTGGTAATGCACAAAAGCTCAAGGAGCCACTCTACAACAAGAGATTCAGAAATGCCAATACATACTACTGAGTATCTTATGAAAATCAGTTCCAGTATATCTCAACTAATGTTCCAGCTGATTTTTCATATGTCACAGCAGTGTATACCTGAGAGCTGAGGTCAGTCCTAAATGCCATTTTTACTTTTAGGCCTGGCAGTTCCAATGGAATCATATTGTCAAGTACGGCTGGGATTTTCCTAGAAAATCTACTTTCCTACTAAGCTGTCTTTCAAAGAGTCATGATGTGGTAAAAAGAAGGGTGTTGGTCTCAAACAGTGTTTGGTTATAGATAAAGATCCATCTATAACTAGAATTTCATTAACTGTACAAGCGTTTGGGTAGTTTAATGTACTGAAATCTGACTGCTTCCACTCTAACAACTATTATGAAATAAGTCATGTATATCTTGGAGCTCCAGAAGGGATAGCCTTACAGTGTCTGCCTAAGAAGACTAAATATGTGGCAAGGAAACCAACCATGAATCAATGAAATTAAAATCATACACTATTTCAAATTCCAGCTAAAATGCTTATCTAGGTAATTATGCCTTGAAAAAGAAAAGAAAAAGCTTTCTTCATTAAATGTTCAGCTTATTGATCCTTTTTTTCTATCATAAATGTCTTAAGTAGATGTAGATGTAGAAAATATACTTTCTGGTAAAAGTACATACCATCTGATATATCTAATAAATTGTATATTAGCTACTAATTCCTACTAGCAGTAATAATTCACAGCTTATAACATATGATGATATATTTCTTTTTTCAGACCTTTTTAGCTTTTAAACAAGTAGAACTCAGCTTTCATTTTGGAGAGAATATGTTTAGAATTACTTTTCTATCTATTTTCCTTAAAGTAATAGGAAAGATAAAACTGCATATTGTATAAAAGGAGCAATGTACATCAGCAGATCACAAGTTAGGGCTAGACAGTGTCTGCCTATAGACTAGGTCTATATTTGATTGATTATCTTGATAATATTTCATAGGAAATGTCCAAATTAGCACATTGTTTGTAATTGCTTTTTACTGTTGACAGAAGTAGCCCTCCTGCATGACAGCAACCTATAGTAAATATAGTTAATAGAGAACATAGTTATCTATTATATATTTATAAAATGTGTTAATTATAATACACACAAAATCAAAGGGCAAAGGAGACGAACAGACAAATTTCAGGCTAATATGTAATTTCTGACACTAAACAAAATGCTTCAGATAGGTATCACTTTTTCCCTGTTAAAAGAACATATCCAAAACCAGATAAATTTCCCTAAATCAGGACAGGAATCTTATCACAATTAGGGAAATGTCTATGCAATATAGATCAGTGGGATGTTCATTGAGTTATATCTGATCTACATAAGGATATCAAATAAGCAAAAATCATTTTACCTTTATTATCCCTTGGGAATTTTTTGATGGTTGGTCCATTATCCTGATCAACAATAACTTCCTCTCTGTTGCTAGGCATCATAACTATAAATAAGAGATTTAACTGAGTAATTTTCTATACAAAACACCCACGAGAAATGCAGATATATGACTAATATTGTTCAATATTCTACTAATATGGATTTTTATATACTTCAATTATAGTAAAAGTATCTGTGCTTATGGTTGTGCAATTTAAAAATCAATGAGAATGGACATGGTGAATTGTAACCCTTTTTATAACTATTTGAAAATAATATACATATGTATTTTTAAAAATCAATAAGATGGTTAATTATGTGAATTTAAAGTAAAATTATATTGCATTCAGTTGCCAACTTACCATCTTTAAAACATTTACAAAGGTTCCACTTTCAAAATTCATATTCAGATTAGTATTTGCATCCATGATTAATAATATATTTCCAAAAATGCTTCTGAAAAGATTTTTCTCACTTAATAGACAATGAGTGTAAAATAGTTACACACTTAACTCACTGTGGAAGTTTTTGATGATAGCATATATGCAAAGACTGCCAGATTCAAATATAACCTTCTGGTCATTGTTATGAATCTCCACAAGACATGGAAAGGGGTAAAACTAGTTTTCATATGCTATTTTTCAGAGTTTGTGATTTCATTCTCTATAGTCAAAAAGCCAGAAGTTTTATTAAAACATTATACCTCTCTAAAATAAGCTATGATCACTCAAGTCATCCTTTTCTTTTCTCTGATACAAAATCTATCTTTGTAGTCCTGGTATTGAATTCTCAATCCTCCTGATTTTGCCTCCTGAGTGCATGGATTACAGTACTGTACCATCATACCTGCTGGTTTAGGAACCATCAAACCTGTTCCCTTGTAGATAATTTCCTACCCTGATTGGACAGCTGTAGAATGTGCATATATAACCAAATTACTGCTGATGATAATTGAAACATGTATATGTATAAACATATATGTATATACACATATATAGATGTAGATGTATTTGCACATTGCCAGTTCTGCAGCCTTAACCCAGTGCCTTGCTTTGTCATTCTGCTTGCTTGTTCCTGGTTGGTGTTCTACCACTTGAGCTACATCTCTAGTCCAGCTTTTGGCTGGTTAATTGGAGATAGAGTTTCTTAGACTTTCCTGCTTGGGCTGGCTTTAAATCTTGATCCTAGATCCTCCAGATTTTAGTCTCTTCCTCTCCCCTCCGTCTCCTTCCCCTCTCTGTCCTCCTTCCCTGTCCTCTCTCTTCCTCTACTCCCTCTTTCGCTCTTCCCTACCATCACCGGTACAAATATTATTGCTACAGAATAAATGCTTAGATTTTCTTCCTTCCTTCCTTCTTTCCTTCCTATCCCTTTCTTTTTCTTCCTTCCTTCCTTCCTTGCTTGCTTGCTTTCTTGCTTGCTTGCTTTCTTGCTTTCATTCTTTCCTTCTTTCTTTTTTCTTTCTCTCTCTCTCTCTTTCTTTTTTGTACTAGTATTGGGGTTTGAACTCAGGGCCTGAACACTGTGCCTCAGCTCTTTTGATTCAAGGTTGGTACTCTACCACTTGAGCAACAGCTCTACTTCTGGCTATTTGATTGTTAATTGGATGTAAGAGTCTCACAGACTTTCCTGCTTGGTCTGGCTTCAAACCAGGATCCTCAGGTCTCAGCCTCCTAAGTAGCTAGGATTACAGGTGTGAGCCATAGGGGTCTGGCAAAACTTGAGTTAAATTTAATCTCTAAGGGTTTTGAGTCCCAACTCGAATGCTCTGGTTACACATTAGAATCTTCTGAGCTGATACCGAAAAGCAAAGCAGAACACTGCTCCCAGTATTTTAGATGAAGAGAGCAAGACCCTGAGTGTATGGCCTGGGCATCCATAGTTGTAACAGTTCCATAGGTGATCGTAGTACAAAACTAGATTTAATAATCACTGAGTTTACTAGAAATTGGAGACCAGAAAACAATATATAAAATTGACAGGCTAAATGTGACTTAGATGAATGTTGACATGTGATGAATTGCCATTATTCATTTCCAAGAAAGATCTATAACACAACACTTTTCCTAATTCTTTAAGTTCTTGTTCTCCCCACAAAACATCTTGTGGATGATGAAAGCAAGTACTGTTGTAAAAAGCAAGAACAGTTATAAAAACCTAAAATATATTCTGCTAAAGGTAAAGCAGAAATCAATTTACTAAAGGAAAAGGATAAAAAGAAATTTAGATTGTGTAGGTAGAGAAGATGAATGACTTTCCTATATCAACTGATCCATCAACATTATACACTTAACTTCTATACATCTAAGTAAGAGCAGACAGTAAGAGGAAATAAGCAACCAAAGGAAAGCCACATAAATAGAAATGATATCCCCTTGTGTTTCCCTAGAATGTCAAATTTCTGAACTATTTTCCCACATGTTTTGCTAATTATTTTCATCAAGTAAGCAAAAAAATTCATGGTGCTCAAGCAACATACCCAAGATGCTCTGCCCACTTAGTACTAGACCTATTCCTAGACTTAAGGATCTGGCATATCACTTTAACACAATTTTTTTGGAATGGTGTCTATGGTATTAGACGTTTGAGACAATTAAAAATATAGACAATAGCATAGTCAATATCCCAGTTCCAAATTGTTGAGAATGGGGCTTATCATATATAGATTCTGTTTTTAAGCACTCTTAAATGACCAACAGTGTGATTCTTACACTAGAAGTTGCATAAATACTTAACACATGCCATGCCTGGAGTTATTCCCATGAAATCCAGTAATACATTTATAGGAGGAATTGAGGAAAATATTTCTGAAGGTTTGTTTCAATTTATTGATCAAATGAAAACTGAATGTTTCTAAAAGCCACATATATTAAAGAAGTGTTATCTCTTCTTCCAGTTGTTTGTGTGTGTGTGTGTGTGTGTGTGTGTGTGTGTGTGTGTGTGTGTAAGAGAGAGAGAGAGAGAGAGAGAGAGAGAGAGTCTCCTAGGCTCAAAGACTGAGTACAGTTACTGAGTTTTCTTATGTGCTTGAGGCTAGCACTCTGCAACATGCGCCACAGCTCTATTTCCAGCTTTTTGGTGGAGATAAGAGTCTCATGGACTATCCTTCCTGGGTATTCCTACAGCCATCCTCAAATCTCAGCCTTCTGACTAGCTAGGATTACAGGTATAAGCTACTAGCATCTAGCTCCCTCTTGTTTCTTTCTCCAAGATCTATGTCCTAATAAGGAAATTCCTGAAAGGATATTTTCCAATTATTTTTTAGGCAAAATACTCACCCATTCTCTCAGAATGATGATCCATCTGGGAGGGAGAGCTTGACACACTGCTACTGGGGTGAGAGGAGGTCTGGCTCCCAGGGCGATGACTTTCTTCCAGAGAGGGAGCTGGAGAAGGACTCTCTGGGATCCGTTCCTGATACAAAGTAAACACAAAAGGAAATACCATCTGCATGTGCAAGATTTTTCATGATAGTTGTGATATGGCATTCGATTTCTCACTTAATATGAAAGTGTCTAATTCCACACTAGATCATAGGAAATATGTGTCGTTAAATAAAATCAGATTTTCAGATCTTGTGAAATTAACTGAACGTTGTAACAGGTGAATAACAACAACAACAACAATAATAATAATCTACAGAGTAAGCCAGGCACTAGTGGCTCATGACCTGTAATCCTAGCTCCTCAGGAGGTTGAGATCAATGGCAGCCCAAGCAGGAATGTCCATAAGATACTTATCTCCAATGAACCACCAGAAAACCAGAAGTGGCACTGTGGCTCAAAGTGGTAGAATTTTTGTCTTAAGAACAGGGACAGTGCCCAGGAGTTGAGTTCAAGGGCCATGACCCCCCCCCCCCCGTCCCAAAAAAACAAACAAACAAAAAAAAAACAAAAATATCCAAAAACTAAAGACACATTGAGGAGGCAAAACTCATAAGTCATTATCAGAATGAGTGTAGAATGAAGATTATTGCTATTATTTTAAGCTTTAGACTGATGTAAAAATCCATATCAAGGTGTGAGGAGTAATATTTTATCAGATTAAAGAGGAATATCAAATGTGAAAACTTGATAAAAATGGAAAAACTTACAAATGTTGCTACTTAATACTTGTTTAGTTTTACTGCACAGGCAAAAATTGTGGAAAGGATATAATTTCAATTTATCTGAAATTAGGAACGCATGTTGAATTCAACCAAGAAAATGTTTTGATATGCACATGACACAAAGACTCCTTAATATTGATTCAAATTTCATATTTCTAGATACTGAACATTGAATATTTTATATACTATGATCATCCATTGCTCTTAATACATTTATGGAGCTATTCAATACGTTTATGCAACATAAATTGATGAATAAATCTTGATCATTGTGTTAATTTTAACAATAAAATAATTAAATTGCAGTTTTTATGCACATATGCAATAAATTTGAGTAAGTTATAGACATGTTGAAACAGAATTGTTTGTTCTATAAAACATTTAATTAAACCATAATAAATTCCTTAAATTAAATCTTCTAACTATAATTGCATCATCAGAATTATTCCAATAATCATAACATTAATAATTAGTTTAGCAAATGGGTGTTTGTATATTTTTGTATTGATTTTTCATGAGAAACCCCAAATAAATAAATTCCCTAAATAGAAGTTGGATATATATAGTGCAAACATAATAACCTGAGGGTTAAAAGTCATTATTTCAGTATAGTAGTTATTATTTTTCAGTGTATCTCATTTCAGCAGGCAGAAATCATGCCCCCACACAAGCTGTCCAGTTTATATCTTAATTGCCAAAAACTGTGAGTATGTCATGTGACATAGCCAAAGGGACTTTGCAGATTTGAGAACCATAAAATAGAGGGATTATATTGGATTTATATTGGATTCCAATCTCAATACAAATGTTCTTAAAATCAGAAGATACATTGGTAATGCAGCATTGTGAATGTTGAAGATGGAAAAGAGCAACATAAACCAGGAAATGTGTGAAGCTTGTAGAAGGTGGAAAACACAGGTAATACATTTTTTTCTTGGAATCTAATGAAAGGAATACAGTTCTGCCTGAACCTTGCTTTTAGTTTCATCAGACTCAAATATCACTGTAACCCACATAATTATAACATGTACACATATTATTTTAATTGTAGTCATTTGTTACAGCCACATTAGAATACTCATCAATGCACTATGTCTCTAATCATGTTTTTCATTACTGTTTAATATTTCATTAGCACTCAATAACTTTAGTAATACAAGAGCCTTTGTGTATATTACTAGTAATGTTGTATATCAGTTAAGTACAATGGTAAATGCATAGTATATTTTAAAGACTTTATAACTGTTATGTCTTGAAACAATATTTTAATACAGACTAATATGCTAATATATTAATTTATATTTACTATGCAAGAAAATGTCTAGTTATAAAAAATGGATGTTAGATCGTGAAAATGGCAATACTGCCAAAGGCTATCTACAAATTCAATGCGATAGCTATCAATATCTCAACCTCATTCTTCAAGAAAATAGAAGAAGCAACCCAAAAATTCATATGGAACAATGAAAGATCCCAAATAGCAAAAACAATCCTTAGCAGAAAGAACAGTGCTGGAGGAATATCAATATCAAACTTCAAACTCTACTACAAAGCCACAGTATTCAAAACAGCTTGGTACTGGCACAAAAACAGAACTGAGGACCAATGGAGTAGAACTGAAGACCCAGAAATGAACACGCAGACCCATAGCCATCTAATGTTCAATAAGGGAGCTAAAAAAAAAAAGAATGGGAGAAAGACAGCCTCTTCAGTAAAGGGTGCTGGAAAAATTGGTTAATCACCTGTAGAAAACTAAAGTTAGATCCTTATGTATCATCCTGCACCAGAATCAACTCCAACCAGGATCAAAGACCACAAAGTCAAAGCAGACACCCTGAAAACATTACAGGAAGGAATAGGACAAACTCTAGGGTTCCTAGGCATAGGGTGAAATTTTCTTAATAAAGATCCAGAAACACAACAAATCAAAACGTTGGACAAATGGGATTGCATGCAACTGCTTCTGCATGGCAAAGGACATAGCTAGCAAGATCAGTAGAAAGCCCACGGACTGGGAGAAGATCTTCACTAGCCATAAAATGGACAAGGGTCACATGTCTAAAATATACTTAGAACTCAGAAGACTAAACCCCCCAAAACAAATCCTCAAAGAAACAACTGCCTGATTAATAAATGGGCGAAAGACATAAAGAGAGACTTCTCTGAAGAGGAAATAAGAATGGCCAATAGACACAGGAAGAAATGTTCAACTTCTCTAGCCATAAAAGAAATGCTAATCACAACAACATTGACATTCCACTTCATTCCAGTTAGAATGGCTATCATCAAGAACTCTAATAACAACAGATGCTGGAGGGGACGTGGCCGAAAGGGAAGCCTACTGCATTGTTGGTAGGAATGTAAACTTGTTCAACCACTTTGGAAAGCAATATGGAAGTTCCTCTAAAGATTCCACATAGAGCTCCCCTATGACCCAGCAATCCCACTTTTAGGCATTTACCCAAATGATCACAAACAATGCCATAGCGAAACTACCAGCACAACTATGTTTATCGTAGCATTATTTCCCATAGCTAAGATATGGAACCAACCCAGATGTCCCTCAGTAGATGACTGGATCAAGAAAATGTGATACATGTATATATATGTATGTATGTATGTACATACACACACTCACACACACATATAATGGAATTCTACGCCTCCATCACAAAGAATGACATGGCCCCATTTGTTAGGAAATGGAAAAACTTGGAAAAAAATTCTATTAAATGAAGTACTATGTGATTTCTTTTTGTTTCTTTTGTATGCTCTTCCCCATGGTAAAACCCGTTTTCACTGTTTGATTCTATTTCCCTGTCTTGTATGTACGTTTTTCTAATTTGGGGAGGGGAAGGGAAATAACACAATGCTGAAATAACGATACAGGTTGACCCATTGTAACAATGAGATGTATAAGACACTATGTTGAAAACTAACTTTACAATTTTGGGGCAGGAAGGGAGAAGTTGTGGAGGTGGCAAGGGAAGGAATGGTAGCAGAAAAACAAAAGGAGGAGATAACAATGCTCAATAGGAAATGTACTCTTTACCTTACTCATGTAACTGTAACCCCTCTGTACAATAATCTTTACAATAAAAATATATACAAAAAAGATTATTTGGAACAATTTGAAAAAAATAGATGTTAAGCACATTTGAAAGAAATGCATAAGCAGATCAAAAGAAATGAATTACTTTTCCCCAAGAGTTTTAGTTCTTTTGGCAGGATGGTGTTGGGATACACAGGAAGATGTATTTATTCTTCCTACCATAGATAATTTCATTTTGGAGAGACCCAAAGGTCATCACTTTATAAAATCTAAACTAAACTTTCATAGTTAGAAATATATTCTCTATATTGTATATGTATATTTAAACACATATGCATACATATAACAATTAAAATACTTTCATCCATTTAGCCATTTTTGTCTATTCACCATTTTGCAATCTCATTGATTTCATGTTTATAAGGTAGAAAACATCCAGTATTTTCATTGAAACTCTGCTGCAAAAAAAAAATAAAATTAAATGAACTTCATTTCTCTAACTCTTTTGGGCTAATAAAAGATAGATACAAAACCCAGAAGTTATTGTATGAAAATAGAAATAAAGAACAAAATCAATGTATAGTGATAAACAGGAATCACATACAGCATCACATGCTTTACAATAGCAATGGAAACTCTTTCAGTTGGGGTTGTTGGCCCAAGTCACAGAGCAACTGCTTAGCAAGCACAATGTCTAGAGTTCAAATCCCAGTACTGCTAAGTAAGAAGAGTAAAAGAGCATTGAGAATTGATGTAGTTGATGATCTGCCAAAGCAAGAGAATATAGATGACCATGACACTTGGTTTTGTACACTGTGTTTAACAAAAAAGGATAGTACCATTTTTTATAAAAGGTTATATAAAAATTTACACAAATTGAAATTTTTATTAATAAGACAATGTTCAATGCTATAAGTGATTTTCCCTGTATGTTCAAAATTAGCATATGATCAGATACTATGTACTTGAATAATTTAGCCTCAAATTCCTTCTTTGCAATTTTCAACAGCTTATTATATGAATCAGTAAAATAACTTGGAAAACATGATTTTGACAGTGAATATTAAGAGTGACAGTAATATTTTGAAGAAGCAATATTTCTGCTGTAAGATTTTGTAGCCTGTACTTGCCAAATCCAATCAAGGTTCAGTTCACTGTTAGTATTTTCCTAAGGAATATGTGAGGTCAGAATTTTTTCACCATGTAAACCATGTTAGAGGAGCCCAATGTTTCATATTGATTTAGAATTGCATA